ATCTGGCAAGTACTGGATGTGTGGTACATGTGACAACAATCTCCCGTATTCTTCATATGTCTGGGCTGTGGGGTAGAGTGGCAAGGTGGAAGGCTTTGCGTACAAAGAAAAACATCCAAGCCTGGCTAAATTTTGCAAGAATACATCTGAAGTCTCCCAAAAGCATGTGGGGAGAAGTGTTATGGTCTGATGAAACCAGGGTTGAACTTTTCGGCCTTAATTCCAAAATATATGGTTTGGCGCACAAACAATACTGCACATTACCAAAAGAACACCATACCCATAATGAAGCATGGTGGTGGCAACATCATGTTTTGGGGCTATTTTTTCTTCAGCTGAGACAGGGACCTTAGTCAAGATAGAGGGAATTATGAACAGTTCCAAATACCAGTCAGTATTGGCACAAAACCTTCAGGCTTCTGCTAAAAAGCTGAACATGAGGAGGAACTTCATCTTTCAGCATGACAACAACCTAAAGGGTACATCCAAATCAACAAAGGAATGGCTTCAGCAGAAGATTAACGTTTTGGAATGGCCCAGCCAGAGCCTAGACCTGAATCTGATTGAATATCTATGCGGTTATCTGAAGAGGGTTGAGCACAGGAGATGCCATTGCAATCTGACAGATTTGGAGCATTTTTGCAAAGAGTGCGCAAATATTGCCAAGTCGAGATGTGCCATACTGATAGACTCATACTCAAAAAGGCTGAGTGCTGTAATAAAATCAAAAGGTGCATTGACAAAGTATTAGTTTAAGGGTGTGCACACAGATGCAACCATGTTATTTCAGTTTTTTGTTTTTACTTCCCTCCTCCTAAAAGATTTTAGTTTGTTGTTCAACTGAGTTGTACAGTTCACAGGTCTCATTAAAGATGAAAAAAGTTCTGAAATGATTTATCTTTGTCTCATTTTTTTTACATCACAGACACTTGACATTTTAACGGGTGTGTGTCCACTGTATTTATATTAAACAATCCTTTTTGGATCCTATTCTGTATAGTATATTTTGTTAAAGTAGTAACGTTTATTTCATAAGTCACTTTTGAACATCACCATTTTCCTGAGAGACAGGAGAGTGAGTTTTTTGTGGCTACAAAAGCATGACTTTTTAACATCTAATAGACTTTTGTTCTTGTTTAGTCGTTTAGTTGTGTCCGACTCTTCGTGGTCCCATGGACCAGAGCACGCCAGGTCCTCCTGTCTTCCATGGCCTCCTGGAGTTGGGCCAAATTCATGTTGGTAGCTTTGATGATACTGTCCAACCATCTCATCCTCTGCCGTCCAAGTATTGGAGCCTCAGCTTCAGGATCTGTCCTTCCAGTGAGCACTCAAGGTTGATTTCCTTTAGAATGGATAGGTTTGTTCTCCTTGCAGTCCAGGGGACTCTCAAGAGCCTCCTCCAGCACCACAGTTCAAAAGCATCAATTCTTCGGCAGTCAGCTTTCTTTATGGTCCAGCTCTCTCTTCCATACATCACTACAGGAAGAGCATAGCTTTGACTATTCAGACTTTTGTTGGCAAGGTGATGTCTCTGCTTTTTGAGATGCTGTCAAGGTTTATCATCACTTTCCTCCCAAGAAGCAGGCGTCTTTTAATTTTGTCGCTGCTGTCTCCATCTGCAGTGATCATGGAGCCCAAGAAAGTAAAATCTGTCACTGCCTCCATATCTTCCCATTCTGTTTGCCAGGAGGTGATGGGACCAGTAGCCATGATTTTAGCTTTTTTGATGTTGAGCTTCAGACCGGTTTTTTGTGCTCTCCTCTTTCACCCTCATTACAAGGTTCCTTAATTCCTCCTCACTTTCTGCCATCATAGATTGATCTTTTCCAGTCTTCTGGCCACTGTTGAGTTTTCCAAACTTGCTGGCATATTGAATGTACATCTTAACTACGTCATCTTTTAAGATTTTAAGAAGTTCCATTGGAACGCCATTACCTCCACTGGCCTTATTGTTATACAAGCTTTCTAAGGCCCACTTGACTTCACTCTCCAGGATGTCTGGCTCAAGGTCAGCAACCACACCATCTGGGTTGTCCGGGATATCCAAATCTTTCTGGTGTAATTCCTCTGTGTATTCTTGCCACCTCTTCTTGATGTCTTCTGCTTCTGTTAGGTCCCTACTGTTTTTGTCCTTTATCATGTCCATATTTGCACAAAATGTTCCTTTAATATCTCTGATTTTCCTGAACAGCCAAGTCAAATATCTTGGAGCAAATGAATGATCTGTAAAAAGGAAACTTGGAAAACCTTCTAAAGAAAAGATCTGAAGAATAATTTTTCTAGAAATCATTTGTCCCTAACGTTGGCCCAATTTTGGTTCTGATATCACTGCATATTCCCAGACAATAATATGAATACCAAAGTTTTAAGAGGAATAGCAGTGTTAGTATGTTGTAGGAAAGCGAACATTTGCATTGTAGGTTGCAGAATTCTGTGTTGTTCTCTGTTAAACTAAAGTTCTTGTCAGTTGCATGGAAAATTTTCTATTGGGTCTTCTGTCACATGTGTAAATTGGCTTAGAATGTTTGTCCTTCCTTGAACCCTTTTTTTCCTAACTAAGCCACTGATAAAGCCTGCATTAAAATTAGTATAAATTCCTCGTGGCGCAGTGGTTAAATCGCTGTACTGCAGCTAAAACTGTGCTCACGACCTGGGGTTCAAATCCCAGATAGCTGGCTCAAGGTTGACTCAGCCTTCGATCCTTCCGAGGTCGGTAAAATGAGTAACCAGCTCGCTGGGGGGGGGGGCAATGTGTAGCCTGCATAATTAAATTGTAAACCACCCAGAGAGTGCTTGAAGCGCTATGGGGCAGTATATAAGCAGCACGCTTTGCTTTTTGCTTTTTGCTTTTTATGTGTCAGTTCATATTAGTACTACTGTTTTCCAAACATTGTATTACTTTTATTAGCAGCAAAAACAGTGTTACAATAAAGAAATGACAGCTGAGGAGTGGGTAGTGCTCATTGATACATTTCTCTGCTAATACACTGGCCACAAAATTTCAAACATGAATGTGTAGGAATAGAGCAGACATAGCTAAAAATAGCAGCCTACACCTCCTCCATGAAGATGTTGAACTTGATTTTCTTCTGACGTAATCACAAGACCACTGCTGCAGTAGGGATTTTATGCTATTCACATGTCTTGTTTTGCACAACAGCGTATGCCAGGGGATTTTTAAACAATGCAGCTGTTTCTGAAATATGAAGTAGGATATAAAGACTTTCATCTACTATTAGGGGTATAGGGTTGGGGGGCAGAAACAATTGAATGCAGTTAGGTTTTCAGTTCTGCATTGATGGTTGTGCATTTTTTTAAAAAAGGAAACCAAGGAAAAATTCCACATGTGTGACTTGTATTTTCCTCTAAGCTGGTGATAGTTATGTTATGAGTTAATCTGAAATATTTTTATATCTTAGCTTCTGTTGATTCATTTGTCTTTTTTTAAATCATTCAATGTGCAGGCTGTTTCAAATAATTGCTTGCAAAACTTATCTTTCTCCTAATCCTCACTCCCACCAAAATAGTTTCTTCTTGAGAGTTGGAGCCATTTGTGGTTTTCATGAAGGACCGCAGTTGGAGTGGGCAGTGTAAGATGGGTGGGCTGATGAGGACTTGGAAGGCAAAATAAGGAATGTTGAATAAAAATATTGACAAGAAGATGTGTAAGGTTTGTTTACAAAAAATATATATTATATATATGATGGAAGGGGTGTGATGTTTGGACTGTAGAAATCTAGACAGAGATGAGAGCACTGAAATTTGAAAGGCAGAAAGTGGAAGCATATGATGATTGAGATATGATTAGCATAGTGTATTCTCTGGCCACAGTGCATAAAATGAGTTATGTATCTTCTGAAAGCTGAACACTGATATTCTTTTGGAGGAAGTGGACTTTTTGTTGAGGAGACAAGAAGAGGCTATGACTTTTTGTAAGTGACTCAACGTGAATGATGGACTGAATGTTATAGGAAACAAAGTAAGAGGAATGGAAAAGGAATTGAGAATCTGTGATGGTCCAGCTATTGTTGAACGACAGCTCATTCATGCTCATTGGCTATGCTGGCTGAGGCTGATGGCAGTTTGAGCCAAACTGTTGTCTGGTGATCCAGAGGTTCCCATTTGTGGTTTAGAAGAACAGATTAAATGGCCAGTCCTGTATACAGGAATGGATAAATAGGGGAGGGGGGCGAAATCTGGAGTCGAATTGGAACTCTCAAGAATGTAATTTGAAGACATGCCATACGGTAAGAGAATGTGAGGTGAATAGGAGGAATCTAAGAATACTGTAGTTCATTTTAAGACTCCCAATTGCAGGGGGCAGGAAGCAGACAATGTTTCCGGGGATTATGGTGAAGGAGAGTGAAAGAGAGATGAAGGGTACCAAGTGATCACTGTTTCTCTGTGGCATAAAGCAGGAAGATAAGTTTTCTTTTTAGTCTTGTTAGTTTAATCTTCTGCCAGTTGCTGTCTCTCAACCTAACATGGCTCATTTGCAGCTGTAGGAATCATGTACATTCACTTGTTACACCTTAAATGTAACAAACAAATAATATATTCCAGTTATAAAAAGATCTGAACATTTTCCTTCCAGGCTTTTACTGGACAGTGCCTTCATGCTGTTACAGAATAAATGAAACAATCTAATGCATTCCCTTCTTACAGGACAAGTATTTTAGAATTTATTTGGTCTAGCAAGAGAGGTAGATTATTTAAGCCAGTCTTAGTTGCAATTGGCTGGGCAAGAACATCTTTAAATACATACTCTGTATTGATAAGAATTTGTATGTGGAATTCATGACGTCTCTAAGAGGTTTGGCATGGAATTGTTTAGTGGACAACACAACAGCAAGTAGTTTGGAATTTCATTTTCTCAGATGAAAATGAAAATTTGCAATGCCAGAACATTTCATTAACTTTCTACTTTTACTTTTCACCTTTTTTCTTAACCTTGAGACAAAATATCTATGCTTACACTTTGCACATATGCTTTATTTCAGGGGAGAAGTTCAAGGTGGAAACAAAAACTATTGCAGCTGACTTTGAAGATCGAGAAACTATTTACAGTAATATAAAAGCTGGCTTGGAAGGCCTTGAGATTGGTATCCTAGGTTTGTATCTTACCCTATTTCAGAATCATTACTGTTTTATTTTAGGAAACTAGACTCCCAGAGTACATAAAAGTACCCATTTCAATAGCATCAGCTCTTTTGCAGCAAAGTTTGAAATCTTGGAACTTCAGAAATGGATGTTCAGAAGTGTGGAAAATTGTATTTCTCATCAAGCATAGTGTATGAAAAGGTCACCTCCTACCTTCCTTCAGGCTTTAGAAATCAGTCTAGGTGTCTGCACCATAGTGTTCTTGCCTGTTCCAGCAAGGACACTATTCAAAATACTGAGGCTAAAAATAGTTTTAAAGACTAACCAGGCTAACCTTGCTTCATTCTCTTTGCACTGCACCTCACTGCATTGACTCGTTAAATATGGTTAACATATATGTGTGACCCTGTGTAGTTCTTTCCTCTTACATGAGCAGATGTGAATAGTTTTGTCAATTGTTTCAGAATTTTCCTTTGGGGCTGAAGGGTTTCTATTATAGAACAAATGTCTTTCTTATCTCCAGGTCACTGCTTTTCTAACAGGTTGCATTTTCTTTCCTGCTTAACATATACAACTAGACTGTATGGATTCTATATTTGTGTGTAAGAATGAGTACTGGAGATGTAATGTGTATGTCTATTTGTTGTTTCATAAGGTATTACTGTTACAAACAGCTATGATGTCACCTGTCCTTCAAGGTTTAGGCTGGAGTGTTAACATCCAATGGTGGTCGGAAGGCGGGACATCAGGGGGAGGAGCTGGGAAATATAGGGGTGTGAATGTGTGAGGATCAGATCAGGATCTGTGAGTGTTGAGATGAGATAGTGATCAGATTGTGTGGAGATATGAGTCTGTGTGAGCTAGAGCCTTTCTTTATGTGGTTACCTGATTTATTTGTTATACCAATCTTAATGTACCAATCAATAAACTTTAGTTAATATTGGTTGAAATCTATTCCGGCCTGAAGATACTTATTGCAAGGGATGGTTGGTGGCAGACTACCAGAAGAGTAACAGTGGTAGCGACCTTCCTTGGTGAGGTAGAAGGAGGCCGTTACAATTACAAACTAGATTTATATGTCTAAGAATTAACCATTTTGACACAGGTTACAAAAAATGGTCAATGGATGACATTAGCTCATAAGTCATTTGCTTTGTTGCATTGGTGCCTGCACTCTTGGGGAATACTAGACTGGTCTGGATTGCCTACCAGCTGGAATATGAACTGTAATATATAAATTGAACTTACTGGTACTTGTGTTTTTAGAGCATTGAATAGTCTGAGTTTCATCAGCACATGTTCCCTTGAGAGAGGAGAAATTTTTCTGCTTACATCAGCTGTTTTCCATATATTCTCTGATTTTCTCTGTTTTGCTTACCTTCAGCAGTGTAAAATTCCCCATTAATCATTTACATTGATAAATAATAAGACATTGGTAAATACCATTGGTAAATGATGAGACACTGATTTGGACTCAGGAGGTTTTTTTCAGTTGGTGTCAGGCAATCTTAAGCAGTAAACATGTGCCATTAAAAATAAATCATGAACATTCAGTGTAAGCTAGTCCTAGTTGTGGAAGAGCAAGATTTAAAAACAGTATATAATTTTGTGCATATGTTGTGCTTCACTGATGGTTAGTGCTGCGGTTACAGAGTTGTCCTGTTTGAAGATGGAAAAAAAAACTTTCTCCAGAAGTGTAATCACATCAATGCAAAGTTTGGTATGACTCAGTTATAGAATCCAGTGTTTCTGATGAAAAGCCTTCCAGTTCCTAGCATCTTCAGGTAGGACAAAGAGAGGAAGATCTCTAGCTACAACACTAGAGAGCTGTTGCTAGTCAGTGTTGCCAGCACAAAACTAGGTATATCAGTAATTTCACTGAATATTTCAGCTTCCTGTGTATTTGCTAAAGGGTTTTTTTTTTTTAAAAAAAAAGATGAAACATGATATTCATTATTCGATACTGAATTTGAACAAAATTTGGCCTTACTTGAACTTAAAAAAACTTCAAAAGATGAACAGTTAGTGAAAGGAAACATGCCAGATCAGTTGTACATTACTTCTGTGGTATATTTGGGCCAAGCAAAAGAGAGAGAGTCCAGTACAGCCCTTCATCAGGCTTAGGCATTATAGAGTTGTGATGGGGGGAGCAGAAAGTTAAAAAATAATCTTGACTGGATGTTGCAGTCTCAGGATCTGAGTTCAGAGGACTAGGCAATGGAGAATCTAGTGGGCAATTGTCAACTGTTTATCTCAGGGGTAGAGAAAGGAGTCATCCAGTATTGCCTGATGTGAGACCACATACTTCAAGCTGATGCAACAGGTTTCCGCTCTCCATCTTGGGTACTTTGATGCAGATCCTGAGTCTGAAACAACTGATTAAGATGCTTTTTGAACTATTTGGTTTTGTCCTGTACTCCCTCAAGATTTGCAATGCTTAGCCCAATAAAGGTAGCTTTAGGACTTGAAAACTGTCTGCCTTTCGTATTTTATTTATCTGATAAAGCTCTTGTTTCTGGATTTTACATGAGGGCCACATGGCTTCCCCCCCCCCTTCATCTTGTATAAGCTGGTGATCTTCCTTTGCCCCTTTGTATGTTCTCAAACAACAGATGGGGAAGTTATACTAGCAATGAACATTAATTTATACCAACAATCTCAACACCCTGGTGTTAGAATTTTCTTTGTGGCTTGTTCAGCCATTCGATTAAAGGGAGCAACTAGGGCAATTTCACAGATTTCAAAAGTGTGAAAACAGCTTTGTGGAATGTTGGATTTGACAAATCTTTATACAATGGGTCTCTGAATAGCACAAAAGCAAGACAAAACCCCTTGCAAAAGGCAGCAAATTGTTGCTTAAAGCATAGAAGGCTAAATGTAGTAAGATTGTCATTAATGAGATTTTTTTTTCTTGCACTATTCTTGCACCTCCTCATCCTTCCTCAAATTCTTCACACTGCATTTAGAGAGCTGATAGGCTGTATGTTGGTTTCTGCTGCCATCTAATGTTCTGATGTTCTGATTTTTCATTTTTCCTTTCTAACGTCTATTCATCAAGTTGTTCTTTTTATCACAGATAATGAATCTTCTACAGACCTTACTAATAAACAGAGCAACAATGGATGTCATGTTGCAGCTTATGAACAACAGTTTGGAATGTTATGTGTTATTCTGTCATCGTGGTAAACAAATGGGTAAAAGCCAGTTATGTGTTATATGCATCAAATGTAGTTTGTTGATCATTCAGATTAGTCCCTATATAATGGAATATTATTACTTTGTAATAGTTTTGCTTATTCGAATGATAAAATAACTAGAATATCTAAACTAGCTCTCTGTATCCTGGAAGGATACTAGTTGAGAGGAAAGGTTTGTGTAGTGGGAAGAAGTCTACACATGAAAGCAAGAAGGAAGAAGCTGCATGGTAGTTGACTGGCTTTTGCTCATTTGTTTACCAGGAAAATAGGTCTCTGCTGTCAGGCTTTGAAAACTACTTACGCACATTCCCCAGTTTAGTGTTAACTTTAGAGTGATACAGGAATTTTAAAATACAGTGGTGCCTTGCTTAACGAGCGCACCGTACAACGACGAAATCGCATAGCGATCCCTTTTTTGGGATCGCTAATGCGATCGCTCAACGAGCTTTAGATAGGGCAAAACTCTCATAGCGAAGGTGGGTAAGTGGTTTGCTTCCCGACCTTCGCTTTGCGCCCCGCCGATCAGCTGTTCGGCGGGTCCAAGATGGCTGCCGGAAGCCCCAAAATGGCCGCGCGCAGCGTTTTCGCGCCCTCGTTAAGCGAGGGGAGGGCGCGAAAATAGATGCCGGCCATCCTGGAACATCACTGAACGGTGAGTAAAGGAGCCTTTTGGAAGGCATTAAACGATTTTTAATGTGTTCCAATGGCTTTTCCTGCCCCGTTCAGCGATGTTTTCACATAGCAAGGGTTAATCCGGAACGGATTAACCTCGCTATGCGAGGCACCACTGGTACTTAACAGAAGGTGCAACTAGTGCCTGTGTGGTTATAGTTCAATAACATGCTTTGAAAGCTGAAATTCAGTTTCTGAGTTCATGAGCTGTTTATCATGCCAGTTCCTTAAGTAATCAACTAGGGAATTTCTAGATTGAGGTGAGTTTGTTTCAGCCAAACAAATGAACTCTATGTCAAATTGGTTGTCTTGCTCTAGATGGTTGGACTGCTAGAACTTAAGAGATAGTAAATATAGTAAACAAAATCAAAGGAACTCATCAATATGAAGTAAAACAGTGTGTCCCCTTCATGGCCAGTTTAAGAAAGAACCAGAGGTGACAGGTGAACCTTTTGGAGCCTCTCTTCCTGAGGATATATACTAGTCCAACCTGAGCCTCTCAGGCCTTGCTATTGAGGTTGCCTAACCCAAGGGAAATAAAGAAGACATCACTAGAAATCAGGCGTTTTCACCTGTGGCACTTACTTTATGGAATAAACTTCCATTAGAGATCAGGCAGGCCCTCTCTCTATAGTCCTGAAGGCAGAATAGTTCCTCAATAATACTGTTTGGCAATATCTGATATTAATTCCATGACCCATTGTTATATTTCATTTTTCAGATTGAAGTTTTACTTTTTATTTGTTGGATTGGATTATATTTATTTACTTTTTGTCTATTCTGAATTGTGTGGTGTTTGTTGCTGATGGTTTTCTTTCTGTTATTTGACTGTATGATTAGGATGTGGTGTGTGTTTTTTTTAATTATTGTTTTTTAATTTTATTTTATTTTTGCTGCTGTTCTTGATTGTATAGTATTTCTAAATTTTGTAAACCACCCCAAGTAGTGATTTCATAAGTCAGGAGGTCTGTAAGCTTTATAAATAAATAGTTTTGGTGATATGTCTAGTTTGATACAAAGAATGAAAATTATATATTGCAATTTATGTTTAGGACATGTATACATACAGATTCACTCTTTTCCTTTTAAATTGGATACAAATGAAGATTAAATCCTTCCCTTGCTGTTTAAAGAAAATAACAATAACACACATGCTTCTACATCTCTGATATGATGGACAGACACATTATGTAGCCATGTATAAAATGTTTTGTCTGGGATGGTTATCTAAAGAATAGGCAAAAGGGGTGCACTGTAAAGAAAGATTTTGCAAACTGAAGTTCAAAAAAAGGAGAGATCATAGCCATTTATAATTCAAGTATATAATGTTGCTTATGGAAGTAATGAAACTTATTTCAAGAAACAGATGTGCTTTAAAAATCAAATTTCAACTACATGTCAGCATTTATTTTAGAACATTGCTACTAGTATAATGCTAGAACTTTATTTCCAAAATATTCATAACTTGGGAATGTCCCAAATTGTACACTGCACTGGTACTATAGAGTGTGTTTCCTTTAGAGCTGTCCAGAAAACTTAATAGGAGGCTTCACAGTGGAGATAGTCTTAAACTATGGTTTTTTAACAGTGATGGGATCCATCCAGATGTAACAATAAATAATACAATTCAGATGTGAAAATAGATAAGTACTATAGTTATTACACCTTATGAGCTGAATCAGTAGTATCAAAGTAAATGTAGCTGATTTAATAGCCATGGTGTTAGACAAATGTAACTCTACATGTTGTGTTTTTCAGTTATCATATTAAAATTAAATGTTTGTTTCAGTAAACAACGTGGGTGTTTCATATTCTTATCCTGAATACTTCCTTGAGATCCCAGATTTAGATAAAGTAAGTATTAACTTTTCCCCTTATCTTTTAAATTTGAGACTATTTTGATACATATTGGCCAATCTGTTATTTCATTACGTTTCATGTTTAAATTATTGTGGTTATTTAAGCTATATTTGTGACTTGATGTAAATACTTGTGAAATCAACGGAGCATGTTGTTGAACCATTCTAGGTACAGTATAGTAAGTGAATATATGCTATGGCATGCTATCAAATTCAAACTTGTGATGAGCAAAATTTTCTCTTCACTGATACTGGTTTCCTGTCACCATGGAAGTTTTAAACTTCCACCCAGTGAGACCTCAGTAATACCTACCTGATCAGCTTTTTCTTTGGTGTAAATCACAGATTATACTGATCTTATTATGGACATTCTGGCATTAAATAATGTCAGCATTTTATAGTATTTTTTCTTTAATGCAAAACTTTCTCATTAGAGTCTCATCACTACCTTCTTTCACCAGTTCCTCCTACATCTAGCTGGGACTATTTATCCCATCCAACTAATGGCAGAGCCCCAGTAATCTGGGCACAAACAAATCACATTAACACAAAGAACAAACTCAATAAAAGCATATAAACAGCAAGCAAGGAACATAATATATAAAAATAAAATAACTAATAAAGAATAGTAATTATAAAATAGATATAAAACTTGAATACAAGAATATTAGGCAGCAAAAAGAGGACAAAAAAGTGCCCAGTCGTTCAGCGAGATTACTCGGGGAAGTCTTGTGAAAAGATCCAGCTTTTAACTTGTGTCCCGAAATCAGGGAGGGATGGGGCCAGTGTTCCCTCCAGTTGTCATCCCTGTTGCATGGGAATCTCATAAGAGCATAAGAAGAGCCCTGCTGGATCAGGCCAAGGGCCCATCCAATTCAGCTTCCTGTATCTCACAGTGGCCCCACCAGTTGCCTCTAGGAGCACAAGAGACAACTAGATGCCTGTTTCCTGATACCACTCCCCTGCAGCTGGCATTTTAAAGTACCTTCCTTTTAAGCCTGGAGATCATACATCTCCATCATGGCTTGTAACCTGCGATGGACTTTCCCTTCAGGAATCTGTCCAATCCCCTTTTAAAGACATCTAGGCCAGATGCCATCACCACATCCTGTGGTAGGGAGTTTCACAAACTAACAACATGCTGGCTAAAGAAATATTTTCATTTGTCTGTTCTCACTCTCCCAACACTCAATTGGAGAGGATGTCCCCTGGTCCTGATATTGCGTGAGGGTCAAAAAGAGCTTCCCTCTATCCACTTTCCACCCCCTGCATAATTTTATATGTCTCCATCATATCCCTCCTCAGGTGCCTTTTCTCTAGACTAAAGAGCCCCCAAACACTGTAGTCTTTTCTCATAAAGGAGTTGCCCCAGCTCAGTAATCATCTTTTCTGCACTTTTTCCAGTTCCATTGTGTCTCTTTTGAGGTGTGGCAACCAGAACTATGCAATACTCCAGGTGCGGCCTTACTATCGTGTTGTACAGTGGCATTACAATGTTGGCTGTTTTATTTTCAATCCTCTTTTTAATGATACCTAGAATGGAATTGGCCTTTTTTGCTGTTGTCGCACACTGGGTGGACACCTACATTGAGCTGTTTACCAGCACACCAAGATCTCTTTCCTGAGCCATCATAGACAGCTCAGAACCCATCAACTGATAACTAAAGTTTTGATTTTTTGTCCCAATGTGCATTATTGAAACGCATTTGCCATCCTGCCACCCATTCTCCCAGTTTGGAGAGGTCCTTCTGGAGCTCTTCACAATCCCTTCTAGTCTTCACCACCCAGAAAATTTTCGTGTCATCTGCAAACTTGGCCACCTCACTGCTGATCCCTGTCTCCAGGTCATTGATGAACAGGTTGAAAAGCACCAGTCCCAGGACAGATCCCTGGGGCGCACCACTTTTCACCTCTCACTGGTCCGTGTGGAGGGGCGGGAATTTCATCTGAAATTCAGAGGTAAACAGACATTGACCCTGGCTGCTGCTGCATAGTGCCACTGGAGCTCTGTGTGCACCTTAGAGGGAATGTTGAATGGGACTAATCGTACCTCAGGTGGGAATGAATTCCAGAGTGATGTGGCAACCACAGAAAAGGTGGTTTTGAATGGCAGATTTTCAGTCTTCTCTCGGGGTTGCCACTGGCAATATCCCAGAATATGAGATACAGGTTGGATGGGTGGACATTTTAAGGGAGAGGTGCACAGACAAGTAGCAAGCTCTTAAAACATTTAGGGCTTCAAATGTTAGCATAAGCACCTTGAACTTGGCATGCAGGCAGCCAGTGGGAGACATGTCAGGACAGGAAACATTTGATCAAATTATGATGTACTAGATACCAGCCTAGCAGCCATGTTCTGCACTTGCAGCTGCTTCTGAATCAACTTCAATGACAGCCCAACATAGAGAGTGCTGCAACAGTCTACTCTTGAGATTACAAGTGCATGGGCTGGAGTTAAGGACTTTACGTCAGGATACGAGCAAAGGTGTGCAGTCTTACTTCAGTACATCTTTATGATTAAAATCCAACTGAGGAATTATGCAAGCATAAGTCAGTTGGTGTAAATTTCAGGGACAAGTGCCACAAACTGGCATAGGCATTTGTCAAATGTCAGGTCATGCAACTGGTCTGTGAGAACAGTTTCTTAATTAACAGCAGCATAATGCAGAGGTTAGAGAACTTGTGTCAGTGGGTGTGTAAGTAAGTCGATTCTGTTCATTGGACTCCTTCACAAAACTTTTTTATTTTATAGGCGCGTATAATTTATTTCAGGACAGTTCCCTTCTCTAAGTAGCATATGAAATGTGTAGTTGTATATGTATATTTTGTGTGCATACTTTCTTGTCTGAATTGCTAAATGTTAAAATGACACATACCAACAATCTATTTTAAATTTTAAGGGATGTGAAGAAACACTTTTTTCCACAGTCATGTTTTGCCCAATTTATCTTTAGCATCTTTTTTCTTTCTGAAGTTAAGCATACACAGTTACAAGGAAAAAAGGACAGGCTGATTGCTTATGAAGATGTAAATAACCCATTTAATGATTCTACTTTTTAAAGTAGGTTAAAAAACCAGGCAGCAGGTATCATAATTTTAGATTTTACACAAAAAAATGAGTCTCACAGATGTACAAATGTTGGTCTCCAAAAGCATCTAAAAACTCTTCACTCTTTCGCTGCATGGAAAAAATATACAGTGGTGCTCCGCATAGCGAGGTTAATCCATTCCGGATTAACCTTCACTATGACGAAACATCGCTAAAAGGGACAGAAAACTTAGTTTAATGCATTCCAATGGCTTCTTTACTCACCATTATGTGATGTTTCCTCATTGCGACGCCATTTTCGCGCCCTCGGGAAGCGAGGGCAGGGTGCGAAAATGGTTGCGGCGACCATTTTGGGTCACGCGGCGGCCATTTTAGAACCGCCGAACAGCTGATTGTCAGGCGTCGCAATGCAAAGATCGGTAAGCGAAACGCTTACCAGTCTTCGCAATGCGATTTTCGCCCATTGGGGCCATCGGTAAGCGATCGCATTAGCGATCCCAAAAAATGGATCGCTATACGATTTCATCATTATATGGTGTGCTCATTAAGCGAGGCACCACTGTATCTTAAAAAATCATTTTTGGCATGTAAGGATTAATCAGGCTAGTAGGCTAGTTTTCATATCTGGTCTGACTTTGCTTTGATGCCTGTATAACTAGTGATATGTCTCACTTGGCGTTTTTCTTCATATCATAATCTTATAGTATTATGTTGGATTTCATAAAAATTTTTTCTTTTGCAGGCAATTGACAGGCTGATAAACATTAATGTCATATCTGTATGCAAGGTATGTGGCATTTGCTGAAGAATTTTAGGGAGTGCAATAGTGCTTGCATCTTTATGATACAAAGTAACATGTCTGTCTTTAAAAATCTATCTCTAGTTTATTGTCTTTACTACACCTATTTCTTTATTTAAAATATTTTACCTTGCCTTTCTCCTTAAAAAGGACCTAAGGTGGCTTACATCCTTGAAATGCAGTATTTAAAGCTGAAAACAGTGGTTTACATAATTAAAAGGCAATATTTAAAACTAAGAATGAGTATAAATAGGCAGCTTATATCATTAAAAGACAATATCAAAGCTAAAACAAGTATGCAAATACTAAAGAGGAACAAACAAATACCACTTTGATAGATGGTAAACACGTTGTACTAAAGACCCAATCAGAGCAGTAATGCCTAACAATTAATCCAAAGGTGACCCATGTAGCCAGCCATGTCACTTCTCACTCATATAGGCAGTCATTTAGGAAAAGCTTACCTGAAGAGAAAGGTCTTTACCTGCTTTCAGAAGGATAGCAGAGATGGGGCCAGTCTGGCCGCCTGTAGGAGGGAGTTCCAAAGTCTGGGAGCAACAACAGAAAGCAGGCTGTTTTCTGTGTCCCCATCAGACACACTTGTGAATGTGGTGGAACCGTAATAAAAGCCTCAACTGCTGATCTTAACACCTAAGCTCACTCATAGTGAGAGTCAGTGTTTGAGACAGCTTGGACCCAAGCCATTTAGGACTTTTTAGGTTAGAACCTGCACTTTGAATTGTGCCTGGTAACAGATCATCAGCCAGTGGAGCTGCTGTAACACGAGGGCTATGTGATCCCTGTTACCAGCCCCAGTCAGCAATCTGGGTGCTGCATTTTGGACCCGTTGAGCCCGCTGAAGTTTCCTGACACGTTCTAAAGGCAGCTCCACATAGAGCAAGTTACAGTAATCCACCCAGGTAGTAACTGGAGCATGTTTGACAGTGGCTACATATGATCTCTCAAGAAATGGATATAGCTGGTGTATTTGTTTTAATTGTGCAATTGCATTCCTGGCCATCTTCAAACCTGGGCATCCAGGCTCAGAGATGAATCTAAGAGCACCTCCAAGCTGTGCATCTGTGTTTTCCAGGGCAGTATACTCTCATCCAGTACAGGTTGTATCCCTATTCCTTGATCTGCCTTTCAGTAGACCAGAAGCACCTCTGTTTTGTCTGGATTACCGTCCATTATTGATACCAAACACTATGAAGCCAAAACAGCTTCCTCAGATTTAGGTAACATTGATACCAAACACTAATATGAAGCCAAAACAGCTTCCTCGGATTTAGGTAACAAGGGGAGGTAGAGTTGGATGTAATTGACATACTGGTGACACATAACCCCAAAACTCCGGACAATCTCGCCCAGCAGTTTCATATAAATGTTAAATAATATAGGAGATGGAACCAGAACCCTGAGGGACTCCATAGGTCAGCAGCCAGAGTGTCGAACAAGAATCCCTCAGCACCACCTTCTGAGTTATCTCTTCCAGGAAGGACTGGAGCCACCAGGTGAACTTTGTATGTGAAGTAGCCATAAGTTCCTGATTGCGCTCTCAACCAATCATGATCATTGTATGCTTCGTCCTATTATTATATGCTAGTGTGTAGCTGAAAAGTTTTGAGTGGTGGCTGATAAAACTTGCTTTTTTGCATGAGGCAGTCTTTTTACAAGTTCTCAAGATCTTTTTAATGGTTTAGGAACATTTTACTAGTATCTCTGCTTGTTTGCATGTTTGGTATGGTTTTATTAAGAATCTCAGCAACTTGGGGTGGCTTCTCTAGATATCTGCTCATCTTCCGCCTTTAAAACATGGTGAAATTTTCGATAGGCCTCACAAACCTTTCGTTCCTACTACCGTTGCTGAACTTCATTTGGACATACAGGTGAAAGAAGAATTTTTGAATTTCTATCATAATTCAGAGAATAATCAGTGCTTAGAATCAGTATTGAGTTTCAGAGCCAGACCTTACAGGTACTCAGCTGCAGTTCTGCCACGATGACATTTAGAAACATCTGATACCCAGTGCTGAAACAGTAGCAGACTACTGATGTCTGCTGTTAGAAGTGCAGATGAGGCCATCTGATTCACTGCACATGCTATGTGGAAGAACCACATTCAACAGTTGGAATAAAAATCTGATGCCTCCACAAACAGCCTTCATTCTCTTAGAATGTTTCTAGGTGAAGAGGGTCAACTTCCTATTGAGGGGGCAGAAGAGGGTTCCCTCACTCTAGTGCTGCTAAATCATCATTGGGTTTTTTCTTTTCTTTTTCTTCAGATGACACGATTGGTGCTGCCTGGCATGCTAGAAAGGTGAGTCACACAAACACTATCCAGACAGTCGACATTATTTATAGGGGAGAATCCTTTCTTTGAAAAATTCATTACTATGACTAATCAGCCTGGCCTCCATGTTTTAGCGGCAGTGTAATGCTGTGTGAGTCATGTTTTTGGTGCGTGAATCATCAGGCAGTGGAAGCCTATTGCCACTTGATTCCCATCTTGATTTTCTGTTTCCCGTTCACTTTTGCAGTGATTTCTTTTAAAAATGGAATTAAAAAGACTGTCTGACTCATCAGTGCAAACTCGACGACATGCTGTTCTGTGGGGGCGGCTTTGATTCTTGGGATGTTCCTGGGAATAACCTTCGTGAAGCCATTTCTAAGAGTCACTGAAAACAAAATGGGTATAGTGTGTGAGTTGTAGTTATACAAGAGGTGCAGGAAAGTGTGTGAGCAAAAGCAGGAGGCTCTTAGGAATAACATACAACTAATATACTGAAGTCTTGTAATAGAAGAAATCAGTTTAGGTAGTAGAGCTAGCATATATAATTCCTGTTAGAGTTATCCGTTTGTTCACCTGCTACATTAACTGAATAGACTTAATGAAAATGAAAGGCTACCTCTTCTTTAGTGCCTTTCAGACAAACAAAACAATTCTCTGCCACTATTATTATTGCTGCATGACAGTGCAGCAATATATATACAGTATTGTGCAACAAAGCAAATCAGCATTCCATAAAGGTAAGACAAAGAAATGGAGATACCACAAACAAAAAATTGTAACTTTAAAACTGGACCTTGGATAAACACCAGATTTGGCAGTCTGCTCTTGCTCTGTTCCAAATTTGGGGACATTTGGACAAAGGGTTTTCAAGTTACCATTTTTTAAATGTAAATGTTTTACACACACACACAAACCCATACAGACACCACAGAGGTCTGCAGATTTAAAACAGATCACATACATTGAAAAGATCAAACTTGCTTATCTTGAAACAGGATTAGTCCTAGCCTCTTCATTATTTAGACAGAATCAAGGCATGGGTATGTGTGTAATTTTGACTTTGAAATTAGCCATTTGAAAGGGGGGAAGCCTCTGACAGTTCTGGCTTGCTTATAAACTTATCAGTGTTCTAAACATAAACATTGCTGCAAAATTGAGAGCCAGGAAGGGAGATCTGACCGGTCAAGAGCAAATTAAATTACTTTCAAGAGGAGTACTTCTTAACTCCTTCCTGACCAGACAGACATTAAAAACAATTTATATTTCTTGTGTAAAGATAGTTGGAGAACTAGAGAATATTCAGAAACTTACTTTTTTAATCTGTGAAATTACTGCTTTTTTTTTTAATGGCCATACACCCATCTTATCACTATACCATTGTTTGGTAATTAACAAAAAACTCCAAAGATACTATGTGCTATTGTCACTTCTGATGTGTGCTGACATGGCTTACTGACCTCCAAAATATCCTGTCATTAAAAGCTCTGCTCAGATCTTGCAAACCAAAAACATCTCATGTTAAGTTGTTCTGTTTTCCTAATGTCTCCCCTTCTAGCAATATTGTCTTATCCAAAAAGTTTTGCTCAGATCTTACAAATTAGCAGCTGGGGTTTCCTCTGTTGAATCAACCTGTATCATGTGAGGTTTTCCTCTTTTCCTACCAATGCACCCTGATTTCATCAGCAATGTAGTCTATTCAGGTCACTTTTGTATTTCAGTTATATGTACACGGTCTGGTTATTCATTTTTGCTCTAGTGAGAATTCAGACTTGACTTGGTTGAGCACCCACTTTTCTTCTTTTCTGGCTGTCTTTCATATATGTAGGGCTCTCCAACACCACATTTCAAATGAGTTGATTTTTGCCCGTCTTGATGTTAGTTTCCATTGACTTCCTTTGTTAACTCCAACCTGATATTGCTGCACAATGGAGATGGGGGATTCGTATTCATCTCCCGGGGGAGACAAATATGAAGGCCACCATCACAACTGGCCAGCCTGATTACTCCCCTTCCGCCGCAACCAGGTGTCCGCTTACAGCATGGTGCTGCTGTTCTTCTCTCCGTACCAGTTGCTGAAGTAGCCTGGATGAGGCTTCCGTGCCTCCCTGTGCTGATGGCCCATCCAGTGGGGGAACAGGATGACAAGCCTCTCTCACAGAGCCTCATGGTGCAGTGGTTAAATTGCTGTACTGCAGCCAAAACTGTGCTCACGACCTGGGGTTCAATCCCCGGTAGCCGGCTCAAGGTTGACTCAGCCTTCTATCCTTCCAAGGTCAGTAAAATGAGTACCCAGCTTGCTGGGTATAGCCTGCATAATTAGCCCAGAGAGTGCTTGAAGCATTATGGGGCAGTATATAAGCAGCACAATGTTCTTTTTGCTTTTACACAGCTGCTGATGGGTCAGCAGCACAAGGAAGCATAGAAACTGCAGCCAGGCTACTTCTGCAGTTGGCGCAGAGAGTCAAATGCTGTAACTGGATACCTGGCTGCAATGGGGCAGGGTTTAATCAGGTTGGCCAGCTGTGATGGCGGGCTTTGTATTTGTCTCCCCTGAGACAAATATGAATCTCCCATGTCTGCTACACAATATTGTCCCTGCATTGCCAACAGGAAAAAGGATGCCAGGCTTTACATAGCAAAGGGCAGCCTAAATTTTTACAAAATCAATGGTGGCAGTTACTTACTATCATTTACACTTGTTGAAAACCAGTTCTGACAATTGCTTTATGTTTGGGTGAGAAGTGGTTAACTGATGACTGATTTCCACATTGATCAACGAAGCTGTGGAGAGTCCCTTATTAACAAAATTGGTCTTTGATCTTGGCAGTTTAATGTGGTTGCATCTTAGCTACAACTGTTAGCTGTTGCTTAGCATAGCAAAAAAAAGTATTTCTTTCATTTTAGGTACTTTAGGAGTTCCTCTTCCTTTCTTTCATTTTTGCATTTTTTTTTTCACATACTGCTCCTTTTTACACGAAAGCGGAAAGCTTCTTTTGGGTCATTTGTTTCATGTTTTCCCATTTGTGTTTTCTGGCAGTCCAAAAGCCCTAAAGAAATCTTAAAGACTACTCCAAAAAAGCAAAGGCAGCAGAGAAACAGTATACTCCAGAAGGAGAGAACAGTACATGAGGAGGAAAAATAATGATCAGACCTGTGCAGGCAGTAGTTCATTCACATTCAAAACAACACTAGGAGTTCAGTGCCACCCACCAAGCACAACAGATCTTCTGGGCCTGGGCAGCACAATAGAAAAGAAAAAGGCAAGTAAGCAGTCAACAAGCCAGGCACTGGCTGCTTGACACACAAGGATGGCCATTCACCACAGCAACCAATAACAACACAACACTAAGAACAACAAAATGCCCTAATCTGTGCCCAGCTGACTACAACCCCACACACATCGCAGTGGCACACTAGCAGTCATATTGAGTCCTCCAGTATGCTGCACCTGCTTGTGTGCACGCGCACACACCAGTTCCCCAAAACCCCACCAAAATATGCACCGTTAACAGAAAAATGCATAACATAAACATAACTGTGTTGTAAATATCTGTCAAACAGGGAAAGCACAAAGAGCCCCTCTCCCAGAAACCAAGAAAATTGCAATCAAATGTTCCCCAAACCATTAGTAGCTCCCACAGAGACACATGGCCTAATACCTTCTGTTCTCTTCTTTGAGTCTGGCAGGCCGGCCAGGCCAGGCCCAAAAAATAATCCCCAGGGACATACTAGCACAGGCAGGTTGCCTGGCAGCATCCAATATAATCCATGGAAATGGGAGGGAACTCCTCAAGGAATAAAGGCAAAAAAGAGAAATTTCCAAGATGGAGGCAGAGGCAGGCAGCAAAAGCAATCCAAGGTGGAAATCACAAGGAGCTCAGTACATAACCCATAAACAAAAAGAGCACTCCTTATTGGTTTGCATACCTCGCAAGACGAATGTTCTTATGGCCGTGCTTCGCAAGACAATTCTTTCCCATTTTTTTGGTTCCTGCCTCATGTTTGCTGATTTTAAATGTTTTTCTATGATGTTTAAAAAGTTAGTTTTTTTGATTGAATTTTTTAAAATCATTTGCACAATATATATGGCTTTAAAGAGCACTTAATAAACCCTTTGTAAACCAAATTAGACTTTGTTCTGACTTTTTTTTGCCCATAGGAACACATTAATTAGATTTCAATGCATTCCTATGGGAAAACGCGTTTCACAAGATGAATTTTTCACAAGACAACATTAACTGTGGAACGAATTTAATTCGTCTTGCGAGGCACCACTGTATTAGACAAGAACATCAAAGATCCTAAGGAGGGGTTCTGGAGGGTGCTATGTTCCCTTCAAAAGGAGCATGTATATAATGTGAATTCTCAGGCAGTCACTATTGCTAGGAGTTCCTTTTATGGCATCTGTATCCTTACCTGGAGGAGAAAACCCTGGATTCAGTTAACCCTATGTCTAATACTTCCAGATTATATGGAGGGACTGTCTGAAGAAAATCTAGGAGCTTCGTTGGTTCAAAAGGGGCAACCAAACTTTTCCCTGAAAGTTACAGTCTTCTTCTGTGAGCCCCATTGAACTCCTGTTTACTTCTGATTTTACAACTACTGGTTTAGTATTTAAATCCCGAAGTGCTTTCTGGACACGTTTATTTTGGAAACAAGTTTATTTTCTTCCCATATAGTTGTGCCCTAGAATGTCAGAGGGTAAGCTATTGGTATCATCTTAGGAGATGGAGCCAGTGAGTGTAATACTTGAGCATTGTACTTGAGATGATCATCCAAATACATCAACATTACTCAAAAGGAAACACTGCATAGGGTTTCCTAGGACCTAGAGAATAATCCAAACTTCTATTTTTTAATATTTTTTTTTGGTAAGCCTGCTTTTAGTCTACATAATTCATCACTTCTGTGTATAACTGAACCTACTGCTCCACATGAGCGGTATGCTTTTCATTGCGAATGTGCAGGCTTTGGTGTGATTTTGGTTTGGCAGCAATATTCTAGACCAGCAATGTTCTAAGCTGAAT